GATGCGCGTCTTCTTCCCGCTGATATTTTTTTTTGGCAAAACAACATTTATTCCAAGCATTTTCGTCGCAAAGGCAAAAAAAATAGCGCAAGGGCGACGATGTTAAATATTGCGACTGTATTGCTATGATTCCTCGCAAATTCCTTGCAAAACGTCAAAATATTTCATTATTTCAGTCAAAAATGAATTCGAAATTTTTTGTTTTAGCGATGAAGAAACGACGAATTTGCGTCTATGCGTCGCTAATTCGATGCAACTTCCTCGCAATACTAAATAAAATATTGTGTAATTTAAGATTTCCTTATTGATATTGATCAAACTAATGTATATATACTATATGGTATATACAAATGAATGATTTTGTTTTAAAAGAAAATTTCAATTTATGTATTTGAATGTTGCTTATAAGTCTAAGATAACATATATGTAAATAAGCAACATATGTATGTGATAAGATCATATATAGAAAACAAGAATTCAAACTTTATTGAACATAATCCACAAGATAAATACAATCATATCAAGTTTCACATTCTTCATCATCAGAACTATCATTTTATTCTGAGTTCTCATCAAACTCATCAGAGTCTACATCTTCAACTTCAGAGTAATCACCAGCCTCTTCAATTTCTCGATTGTTTTGATCAATAAGTATGATGTTCTCGACTGTATGTTCTGGAACATAAATATCCCCTTGTGTGTTTTGTAATGGTATTTCATCAGAGACTCCAATAATACGTCCTCTAGGTGCAATTTTAATGACAAATAACCATAATACCCCAGTTTCCCGAATTCTTGGATATGGAATGAAACTGACTTGTTGAGCTTGAGAAGCAAGAATGAAAGGTTCAAATCTCTGATACCTTCTTGATGCATTGACATCAACAACGCCAAGATTGTTTGTTCTCACACCTCGACCGATCACAGGATCATACCAGTCACATTTGAATAATATGCATCTCAAATTAAGCAGCCCTGGATATTGTACCTCTATGATTTCCTGCAGCACTCCGTAGTAATCCGTTCCACCACTAACTAAAATACCATAGTTTGTTGTTGCCTTGTTCTGACCGTGAGCTTGCACATGAAAAACATATCCACGGGTGAAGTACATGGGCGCAGTAGTAATCCTTGTGATAGGGCCTTGGAGCAACTCATGAAACCAAACAGGATATATCTCCGTCCCATAATGTACCTGTATGAAACAACAAAACTAATTAGTCAAACCTACAGAAAATTACCTAACGGAAAATATATTTCTAGAAATTTATAGATGGTATATTATACATATTGCTTTAACCATCCTGCAAAGTCTCTGTCTTTTAGCTTTTCTATTTCCTTCTCAGAAACATCGGGAAATGTTTCTTTCACTTGTGTAACGAAAATGCTGCACACACAAATAGAGAAGGAACGTAACTAGTTACCAATGATTCAATTAAGTAGTATTAATTAATCCCATAAGGAGTTTGTTTTGAACATAAAGTTACCTCTCAAATGGTTGAACGTAATCACAATTGAGAAGGATATATGTATGTGCACTTCGCCTGTCTTTATCTGATGACCACCAAACTTCTTTTATTTGTCCACTAAGCCTTCCAATTTGGGCGAATATATCAGGAACACCTGAAACAGCATATACTGGTGCAACACCACCATCGTCATAACGTCGTGGGGCTCTTTTCCGGGTTCGAACTGTAGGAGCAAAGTAGTAGGAGGAGAAATGAGAAGTTTCTTCAGTTAAACTTCCCGCAACAATTGAGCCTTCAACTCGGGCAAGATTTTTAGCTTTTCCTTTGAGATGTTTCATGAATCGCTCAAAAGGATACATCCACCAAAACTGAACTGGACCTCCAAGGGCTGCTTCATGCGGTAGATGAATGGGTAGATGTTCCATGACGTCAAAAAAGGAAGGAGGAAATATTTTCTCGAGGTTGCACAACAAGATCACAATGTTATTATCTAGTTGATGTATTCCTTCTTCCGTCAGAGTCCTTGTGCAAAGATCACGGAAAAAAGTTCCAATACCTGCAATAAAAATAACAGCATAATAAAATATTAGTATGGTTATATATATACACACATTAGTTTGGTTGAATTATAGTGTCATGTGTACCTGCAATTGCCTCATGAACATTCCGAGGTAATAGCTCTGCCATTGCAAATGGCAATAGACGTTGCATAAAGACATGAAAATCATGACTCTTCATCCCTGAAAACTTTTGCCCTTGCTCGGCAGTTCTCGAAAGTTTAGAAACATAACCATCTGGGAATGTAACATCCGACTTAACCCACTCAAAAAGTGTTGACTTTGCAACCGCAAATAATCTGAAAATTGGAACTGGAACCTTCCCATCTCTTGTAAGATGCAACTCAGGTCGTGAACATATATCAGGCAAATCTAATCTGGTTTTTAAGTTGTCTTTACTTCGTCCCTGCACGTTCAAAAGTGTATACATGAGGTTATCAAAAAAAAATTTCTCGATATGCATCACATCAAGATTGTGCCTCAAAAGAAGATCCTTCCAATACGGGAGTTGCCAAAATATGCTCTTCTTATGCCAATTGTGATCAACCAGATATCCATCTGGCATATTTGCGGGAATATGCCAATTTCCCCCACATTTAGCCGTTTCTTGAGCACCCCAATAATCTAGTTGCTCAGCCAAGTATTCCCCGGAGAAATATACAGGTGGAGGTGCACGGATCACTTTGTTTTTCGTAAAAAGCTTTTTGTTCTTTCGATACGGATGGCTTACTGGAAGAAACCGACGATGACAATCGAACCAACTTGTCTTGCGACCGTGCTTAAGTTGAAACGCATCCGTCCGATGCATGCAATAAGGACAAGATAACCTGCCATGTGTTGTCCAACCTGATAGCATTCCATACGCAGGAAAATCACTGATTGTCCACATCAGTACTGCACGCATTGTAAAGTTTTGTTGCTCTGAGTAATCAAATGTACTAACTCCAGTATACCAAAGTTGTTGTAACTCATAGATCAAAGGCTGTAGAAAAACATCAAGAGAACGTTTAGGATGCTTAGGACCAGGCACCAAAATACTCAAGAATAAAAATTCCCGTTACATACACATATCTGGCGGTAGATTGTATGGTGTAACGATTACCGGCCACAAAGAATACTGTCTACCAGATATACCAAATGGACTAAACCCGTCAGTGCATAGACCAAGATAAACATTTCTACTCTCTCTTGCAAATTCTGAATATACCGTGTTAAAATGTTGCCAAGCCTTTGCATCTGATGGATGTGTGACCTCTCCATCTATACGTGAATGTTCGGCATGCCATCTCATTGACGCGGATGTTCTCTCTGAATGATAAAGCCGTTTAAGCCTATCCGTTATTGGAAGATACCACATTCGATGGTACGGGACTTTTGTTCGCCCTGTACTCGGCTTATATCTTGGCTTCCCACAAAATCGACATTCCTGCAACTGATCATCATTTTTCCAGAATATCATATAATTATCAATGCAGACATCTATCATTTCTGAAGGCAACCCAAGACTTGATACCAACTTTTGTATCTCATAATATGACTCAGCAGCTAAATTATCCTCTGGCAAAATCTCGCTTATCAATTCAGCCCATGAATCCATGCAAACCTCAGATAAGTTATTATCTGTTTTAATGTTCATCATCCTAGATGCTAGTGATAATCTAGATAATCCTTCTCTACATCCATCGTAGAGTGGTTGATTTGCAGCATCTAACATATTATAAAATTGTTGAGCATCTACATTTGGTTCTTCAATGTTATCAGATAATGTTGATGTCTCATGATATGCATCGTGGACCATATCATGAAACCTAGTATGACTTTGATGATCATAATCAAACTGATGCTCAAAATTTATATGAGGTTCTTCTACATGCTGAAAACTAGTACCACTAGACGATGCATTCACCATATTTGTCTCACCATGCCAAAACCATACATAATAATTTGGTATAAATCCCCTATTATATAAATGCTTTCCGACGATTCTTACAGAAAAATGTTTACCATTTTTGCATTTTCGACATGGGCAAGGTATCTCACCACTTTACTGCGTCAATGACATCTGATTTCCATTCTCCAAGAATTCTTCTAGTCCATCAACAAACTCCGACGTCACCATTCCATTTGAATCTTTATGCTGATACATCCATGCCCGTCGAACATAAATCTCATGATGCCCATAAGACATTATCTCAAAGATATAGCACAAATATATATTTATATTTTTTATATAAGATTTTAATGAAAGTGTTTAAATTTTAAGATATTTTGTTTTTTCGTTGCTCATTTAGAAAGAAACACATCGGTATTTATAGGGAGACAGAAATATGTGCGACGCTTTTGCGAGGAACTTTAGCGACGAATTCGCGAGGAAATAATACCGTAGCGACGTTTTTGCGAGTAAAATTATGCCTCGCAAAAAAGTAGGTACACATAATAAAAACGTTTCTCACCTACTTATATATTCCATAGCTAATTCGTCGCAACATTTTTTGGTGCGCTATTTGGCAACGCTTTTGCGACGAATTGTATATGGGGACGCAGATTCGTAGCTACAATGTCGCAAATAAGCATCACCTTTGCGACGAACCGTGACGTAGCAGAATGGCGTGGAAAGTGCGACGTATTTTCGATTCCTCGCAAATGACACGCAAAACCCAAGCACTTTAGCGATGCTCTGTTTGCCTCGCAAAAGTTCCTCGCAAAATACATGTTTTCTTGTAGTGAACGTCATGTGATCTTTTTTTTTATTTGATCGAAACTTTGTTACAACAAACCAGACCGGGTCAATCTAATAAACCAACCCTATAGAGACACGTAAAGAAACCACTATAGGTCGATAGCTTAGATTTTCAATCCTAATTCCGTGAAAACGATGAATTCTTTATCTTTTCCTTTCTAAATTTCCGAGTCTCCACCATTAGCAGATTATACTGAAGAAAAATCAGTAAATTCAACCAGCTCTGCTCATTGGTTAACGATCCCATGTCTAATCAGAAACCCGAAAGACAATAGAATTCTTTTTTTTTTTTAAATAACTTTTGGTTATAAAATTTACTTTTTAAAACTTCAACGACATGTTTTTTTTGCTTAACGGAAATGTAAGAAAATATTTCAAATAACTTTTGTTTTATTCATCTCTTGGAGCTCTTTCCTGATAAAAAAAAATTCCTTTAATTTTGGTGCATATATATAATATCCACATATATATTTTTTTTTGTTAAAAAATATCCGCATAAAGTTGACCAACGAACACCTAGGAAACCCATTTTGGATTTTTTTGGTTGATCACTATCCCTGCTCATATATTCCAACTAATTGTCCTTAAAAAAGAGAAAATTCCAAGAAAAGTTGAAAATGTTGTACCTATCCATTTCATAAAACTAAGCATTATTGTCGGCATTTCTTCCTTTATTCTTTTAATTTGAGCTTTTTGAAACATATGCAACTTGACGAACAAATATGCATGCAAGTTATGAGACAGACGTGTGTCGTTTTACTCGTGATATGTGTCCGTTAGTGGACGGACCTCCATTCGAAGGCAAATGATGTTCCTTTTTTGTTTATTTCCAGAAACGTAAATAATTATAATTGCTTGACGCATTTGAACTATTTGACGTATACTTGGTGAATCGATAGAAAATAAAATATTTTTTCTCAACCAAGTTGGGATATTTTGAAGATTTAAAAGAATAAAAGTTTTTGATAGAATTTTCGTAGTGCTGTTACGTATTTTCTTGGCTTTAATAATAGTTGATGGAGTCTAGCAAAATCTAATTTGTATCAATTTTTTTTTTTGTCACTTATTATATGTATATTTAAGTACTTTAATACTATTCACATACACTTTTTATTGCTCAAATTTAAAATAATATTCAAATCCATGCATTAATTAATAGCGTTCTGTATGTCATGAAATATAATAATTAACCCTATTATCTTTAGAATTTACAAAAGTTTAATTAATGTTGTTTAATTTTGTCTGAATACGGATAGATAGTTAAAGTTGTCATAATTAATCTTGATTGATGATACCCGATGATATTAGTAATAGATACTACTTATAGACTCGTCGAGTTTATTAGCCTGATGGCTATATCTTCAAATATTCTCTCTTGACTCTTTATGGATTCGATCTCGTATGTTTGAGTAATAGAAGTGTTGTCTCAAACCACTTGACTAGTAGACAAAAAATATATATATTTAAATAGCCACAAATAATGTGGTCTACCAAGGTGTCTAGATTACGGTTTCTATTAAATCCTTTTCTTGTTCCATGTAAAAACGTATTACGATAGAAGTGGCTGTCTCTAGACCGTCATTTCATTTTTTGCACATTTGTTTCTCTCTTTTTTTTTTTTAATAATAGAGTAAAAAGACACGACAAGATATGTGTGTCTATATATATACAAGTATGTGTTAGGTATATAAAATACTTTCTGCCTAACTCAACGGCTGTGTTAGTTTTCGAAGACTTAAAGAGGAGTCGTTATCATGAAAACGGATATTACTCTACCCATAATCGCCGAAGACGGCGACTGTGGCGAGAGCAAGCGGGTAAGAGTGGCTGATCCGGGATTAACCGTCGGTGGTGAGGACAGACCTGTAAAATGTCCAAAAATTGAAGACAACGGTACGTTAGTTTACTAGATATCAAAGTCACTAATTTTGCTTGTTTTCGAATTTTCAAGAGTGTTTGATCTAATATAGCAGAGAAGAAAAACGATCGCTTTTTTTTTTATCGATTATCTTGACATAAGAATTAAAATTAAATATATGACATTTCTTAAAGAATATTTTTATAACTTAAGACTAATTTTTGTTCTTGGTTATAAACTTAAGAACAAATTTTAGAACTAGCTAGCGATATTCTTATATTATCACACCAGAAATTTTTTGGGTGAATACTTATCCTAGATTGTACGTTTTAGTTTCCATAATTAATTAAGATCGACAGAAAAATTTAAATATTGTTCATTGATCAGTTCCTTAAAACATTTAATACTTGAAAGAACTATATATTTACTTTTATTTTGTTTGAAGTCTTAAGAAAATAAAAGTAAACATTAATCTAGTGTAGTTTTATCAAAACAAAATTTATAGCAAAATATTCGTTAGTCGTTACAATCATGTTTTTCAACATCTAGGACTAATAAATTTGCTTCTACATATATATAATCTTAGGAGATGTTGGGACATCAGAAGGAACACACCTCTTTGTCGATGAACTAATGGCTGACGTGGCAATTAACGATAAAGACGGAAAAACAAACGCCGGCCATGGAGTAGTCTCAGTTATGGGACGGCAGAGAGCTATGACAACCGCCGTTTCCACCGTCGTTGAGGAGATTCCATCTTATGACATTTTCGGAATCTTCCACGGTCTTAGGCTCGCTAAATTCTTCGAGGACAGGCTTCGTCGCCTCGTTAAGGATGAGGTAAAAGCATGCCACAGCCGCGGGGTGGCGGCGGACTGGAATAAAGTTATGAAATCGTGTTTTTCGGAGGCCGTGGGGACAGTGGGGACCACCGCTACAAAAGCGGTGGTAACAATACTCGGAAAAGAGGAGGTGGTTGTGTTGTGCCGTGGCGGAGCAAGGGTGGTTATATACTCTCACGGCGGAATTGCTTTGCCTATGTGCCATATCCATCATCACAAGGTAACTTTTTGTTGCAATTAAAGGTTTTTTTTTTTTAAAGGCAATTAAAGTTATTTATTAAATTTGATCAGTAATTTTCTTTTTGGCAATTTTGTGTGTGTGTGTGTGTTGTTCCTTGTTATTTTAGTATATCTAACCAAATATATATATTTTTTGTCACCTTTTCAGGATGGTGTAGAGCAAATCCTAAAGATCCATAAACGAAAAAAGATAGACGACTTCATAGTACTTGCATGCGATGGTCTATGGGACGTTGTCTCCGACGGTGACACATATCAGCTTGTCAAAAGTTGTCTTTATGGCAAATTACCAGACGGGTTAGATTCTTACTAGGGATATTAATTTATTTATTTTGTCTTAATTTTACTATAAAGACTAATGAATCTGATACTTTTTCCTATAAATTTGACAGATGTATCAGTGAATCAAGCACGACAAAGGCTGCAGTGATACTGGCAGAGCTTGCTCTTGCAAGAGGAAGCAAAGAGAATATAAACGTCATTGTTATTGATCTCAGAAGGTCTACCGTTTCTTAGTTTTTTTCTTTCTTTTATTTGCGATTCTTAATTAGTTTATTATAAGTTTTTTTTTTTTGTTCTCTCAATTATAAAGTTTCTATTTTACATATTTCTTTTCTAGATATACTTTTTCTCCTTTTGTTTTGTTCGATTAATTTTTTTTTTCAGGTTTTTTTTTCTTTAATTTTCGCTTGTTTTTTCTTTTCTTTAAATGTAGTTTGCTTGGGAGTTTGTTGCTCAGTGACAAGTTTACTTATCTGAATGTATTTTTTATATATATGCAAGATAACTTTTTGAATTAAAAAGTATTGCATACGAGTGAAAAATAATTTTATTGTAGTTAAGAAAATGTTTTGTGAAAATACAATGCAAATAACGGTTATCTTTTTGGCATTCGTTATATTATAGATGCAAATTGATATTTGGATAATACTACAAAAAATATGAGTCACCAACAAGGCAACAATTAGTTATGATTTATATGAAGGGATCGATTTATCCACTGACCAACAATCAGTTATGATTTGGACACCGAGCATAGTCATTAATTTTGTTTTGTATGCAACTGTTAAAGAGCGGATCCGACTACACGTTAGCGGACCAAGCTACAACAGTACAACCAAAGTCTATAGGAAACCATGACCAGTTGTTAGACCGATCCGGGCCTACCACAACCAAATCCATCGGATCATGATACATCCCTACTTATAAATAACGTACAAAACATTGGCCTAGAGAACATAGATTTAATTAAAGACCAAACTCAAACTAATCTGTAAAAGAAAACACGAGAACATTTGGACCGACATGGATCTACCATTACTGAGTCAGACTGAATCTATTTATAACGTATATCAAAAATATTGATTTAAAGAAATAGAAATATATAAACTAAAAAGGAGAAAAGGCTTTCTTGAATTACAAGAAACAGATTAACCCTACTTTCATAGTCTCAAATCTCTCTCTATGTGTACAAGCTAGAGAATTCGTCTTTCTCATCCTCCCAAAAATCTAACCAATCGGTAAAACTAAACCCAATATTTTCAAAAGCAGGTGAACTAGTTTACAAGATAGTAAACCGGTTTCACACACCGAAACACTTGTACTCACTCCAAAGAATAGTTAGAGACCAAGACATCTGCCGGAGAAGCTGCTGAGTGGATATAGACAAATTCCATGCTTTTGCCTGCCGGTAACGATTGCATCCATGAGGGAAAGGTGAATGAAGTTCCGGTTTTCGTCACACCCCATATAGGACCATAGAGCTTGGTGATTGATATCTTCAAAATTTTTAATGTTTTTGTAGATCTATTGGTTAATCTTGTTGAGTATCGATAGTACACCTTTCCCTCGTTCTTCCATGAGAGTGTCATCTTCTGCGATATGGTAATGGGACTAGGAGAAGAAGCTAACAAAATAAAAATTAAGCAAATTGGTTAAGTTCTTTCACTAAATCGAATTGGTTTTCACGATGAGTTGGTATAAAAATCTAAAAATGACTAACCAGGAGGTGTTGTGGGTTTCTTCTTTGGTACCGGTGCTAGTTTTATGATAACCGGACTTGGAGTCGGACTAACACCTGATATAGGAATTCGGTTAGTAATAACCCGGTTAACCAAGTTGACTAATTAGAAAGTACAGAGACTTTAATTAGTTTACTAAAATAGACGGTATAAAACTTTTAATTAGCAAGATAATGCGTTAAATCTTACCGGGAAGCAGCTGGTCAAAACCGGTCGGACCGGAAATCAACCGGGCTAGTACACCAAGAAGTGGCGCGTTGTTGTAAGTTGCTGGTTCGGTTTGCTCATAATTGTCCCGTTGGTCAGCGAAGTTATCGTATGCGTCGGGTCCACCCACTATAGCTCCGGTTAAAACATTCGGATCGCTTCCTTTGCGGCTAAACCATGTGGCGTAACCGCCACGGCAAGTCACGAACTTTTGATCGACATTGAAGGAGACAATAGACGAACCACGATGATGAACTTGTCGTGGATAGTTCTCTCCGTATCCGACCATGTAACTTGTCGCTCTAGGGTTGTCTCCGAGAATGTAATCCACCTGATTAGTTTTAATTAATTGATCAATAATCCAATGTAGACACAGGGCTATCCATTTCACGATACATTTTCTATTTATTTAAGGGTGTTGTGTATGAAGGGGATAATCCTAATTATCCATTAGGATTAACTTAAACTTTTGAAAATTACAGAATAATATATCCAAAATATCCGAAATATTGGATTCCGGTAAGAGACAGACAATTGAGGCTAATCTAGCTCTCAGACGAGCTCGGACACGAGTCGAGGCTCGTATTAGTGTATTAGTTTAAGTTTGTTTTTGGTAGTATATTTATATACTTGAATTAACCATTCTTGACAAAAAAATTTATAACCGTTCTTACCCTTATCCGATATGGATATCATAGACTCAAAAATGATAGTGTCTATTTTTCTTTTCATCATTTTGGATCGACGAGATTCGACATATAACTAAAGTCTGCTACGCATGGTAACACGACTATCTGGAATTCAATTCGAGTAGAGAAAACCGTAAAGTTGGATATTCGATTCAACTTGACTAAAAGCATATCCCAGTGTTGTATTTCAATTTCAACTTCAATTATAGTGTTGTTTTGGTTCCTGATTTTGGGGGATAGAAATAAATTAAATAAGGAAATTTTGAGACAAACCTGTGATTTTGAGAAATCTAGGAGTTGGGATGGAGAAATGTTTCCTTGAGAACAACGGAGATCTCTTTTGGATGAAGAGAGATAGTCGGAGTAAACGGCGGCTAAGAAAGAGGCACTCGTGACAAACTGCATATTGTTCCAGCTTTGTCGGAAAATTAGACCGCCGGGAGTTTTCTTAATGTTCTTCGTGCTTTTACCTAACAACGAACACATAAACTGTTCTGCTTTCTGTTGGTACCGCTCGAACACGGCAGTGTGTTCTCCACCTTTCCCTTGCATCAAAACCTATTAACCAAATCATTGGTTTAGAAAACCAAATTATGTATACCAAAATCTAACCGAAAAAGCTTGGTTAATTTGAACTTTAAAGTGAACTACCTTAGCGACAAGGGTTTGAACGCCAGCATACTTAACGTCCCAACCAAATTCAGTCATCGACCAGCCCGTACCGCCCATTGAGTCACCATTCTTGCCGAGGTAATCTAGATAATATTTATCATTGGTTGCTTGGTATAACCATGCAGCAGCCCATAGTAATTCATCCTGGTTATACAAAATTGCATTTGTAAAAACTCTATTTGAAAAAATGTTTTCTTGAGTTACTTAATTTTACAAGAGAGTTTGCGTTTCATACATTGTAACCGCTGACGGATCGGTAGTATTTTTGTGCCACGGTAATGCTACTGTCATATTTGCCTCTGTATTTGTCCGCAAATTCAAATAGCTGCCAACATAAGAATTGCAATAGAATCAGTGGCAAATTCGTTAATATTACGAATTGAGAAGGTTATTTCTACTATCTACGTTTTTGCACATTTAATTCCGGTCCTGACCAAAACTAACTTCAAAATGTTATTTATAAGGAACTATATGTTTCTTAGTTAATTCCGTTTTGGTTAGGGTTTAGGAACCTGATGGGCGTGACGGAGTAGCTCAGCAGAGTATGATGGATCAGAGCGGCGGAAAACGATGGAAGCCGCAGCCATTGCGGCAGCGGTTTCTCCGGCTAAATCTGAACCGGGATTGTTCCGGTCAATTTTGTAAGCCTTACGATCAGTGGTCATTTCCTCTGGCCTTTGCCAACAATAATGGTCCGACTTACCATCTCCCACCTACACAGTTACATATTATCATCATTAGTCATAACCATATTCAAATTATGTAAATAATTAGTCTAATTAATAAAGAAAGAGATTAGGGTGTTATTATTGTTACCTCTCCATAGAGGACGTTAGGTTCAGGGTGGGTTTTAATGAAATAATCAGTTCCCCACTTAACGGCGTCAATGGCATGACCAAGTTCGCCGTTAGATTTCAGCTGGCCACCGTATTCGATGATGCTCCAACACATTGTTGTCACCGTGAAAGCCATTGGGAGCCCGAATTTCACATTGTCTCCGGCGTCATAATATCCTCCCACTAGATCCACCTGCTCAGTTTTTAAAAATGTAATTAAAATAACCATATTGTAGTGTTAATAAATATTCTAAAAGTCAGCTGCTTATGACGTTTAGGTGGCCAAAACCATCCAAACGCTTAGATTTTGATCCTATTGATTAAATAATGGGTCAACGGAAAGTCAACCATTTATGAATCGATACAGCGGTAAATATATTTTAAATAATTTTTAAAAGTTATAAAATAAAATAAAATGATTTAAATTAATTATATTTTTTGTATTATATTTGAGTAGGTAAAAAAAATATGGAAAACAAATCCGATGAACAGAGAGTTTTGAATAGTGGTAATAAGTAGCTTTATAGGGGTCTCAATTTTTTTGTGTTAAAAAAGGAAGCTTACGCCACTTGATTTGCCATCGTAAAGACCGGAATGAGATCGCCATGAAACTCTCTGGTTAGGAGGGAGGTGTCCTGATCTCTGAGCTTCAAAGAAGAGAATGCTTTTGCTTAGAGCTTGTTTATAGTCATGCCCTGAAACTGCAAGTTGAACCAACCCTAGAAGAAGAAGAACAAGAATCGAAATGGTGGTCGTAGAACCCATTATTTATATGTATCTTCTTTTTGAGATTATGAAAGAAAGTTGGATCCTGTACAGTAGAAATGACTCAGAAGATTAAGTGGATCTTTCTTGGACTTTGTTAATTATCCTTCATCAAAAGTTTGATAGATACTTTTTAAATGGAGAAAGAGAAAGAGAGAGAGATAGTTTGGTGAATGAAGTTGAGAAAAAAGAGAGGTTTATATGGAAGAAAGTGAAGGAAAGTACCAGGAGGAGAGAAAACGGCAGAGTCGATTTAATGATGTCTTTTGTTTTGAAATTTATATAGTTTTATTTTTTTATGAATGTAACAATGTGTCGGCAGGCAAATTTTCAGTTCAAATTTAGTAGGCTGAAACAATATCATAGATTATTTTCTTAAAAAATATTTTTATTGGTATAGTTTCTAAATTTTAGGTGAGATTATAAAGTAGTGGCTCAATCAACTAAGAGAGGAGTCCATTTCTATATTAGCTTGTTAAATTAACATCAAGAAAATTTGAACATAAAAATTAAAACATGTTCTTGAAGTTTTTTTTACATCAACATATTCTTGAAGTTTAAACCTTTGTAAGTGCAAATATCTTCTATACATGCATGTTACTTTGTCTTTTAGTATTAGACAAAAATTTGAATTCCTTTTTAAAGAGGAAAGCATAGTTGTCCCTTCCGTCCGTTATGGAAGCTCTGAATCTTCCATGCATCTAAACAAATAAACAATTGGTATAGACTATAGAATATCATTACTTTGTTTGTTTTTTTCATACAAAAACAAAATATTTTGCTTCATGTATTTTTGTTTCGTATTTATCAGTTTTTAATCCTGAATCCACTTACGAAAATTTGATAACCTTTTTTACCAAGAGAAAACATCTATCTACTTTCATAATCAATTTAGTTTCTTTTTTCTTTTTCTTTTGTCAAGCTATCAATTTAGTTAAAATAATAACAAATTAAGCAACAACAAATTAAGCTATCGCACTAATTTGTAACAAAAGAATAAAAATTGATTGAAATATTCATTTTAACTATGGAAAATCCCAAAAAAAAAAAAACGAATTTTCATTGCAATTTTAATCATTTTGGTTGCCGTAGCAGATACTTTAAAATATTGAAAATACCAATTTCTCACATTTCATTGATGTTGATCTTGATTTCGGTTCAAATCTTCGGTTTAGAAAATAAAAAATTATGGGAACAAATATAGAAAGTTCTATTTTGAGGCTGTCAACAAAAAAAAAAAACTATATTAAGGTCATGGTCACATGAACGCATGTGACTACCGACACTGTGAAATTGACCCCTTCGTGCGTGAGAGCCCAACATAAGTTTCTAAGAAGTGGCCTATTTCATCACGTGGCCTCACGTGTTACTTCACTCAACCTTGAATTTATTTTGTATTTTTGACAGCTATCAAATCTTTATATACATTTTTCGAGTATATTTAGCAAATAAATTCTAGAGTTTTACCTTATTTATGAATCCATGTCATTGGTATTTATTATTTAATTTTACAAAATTTAAATAAAAGATATTAACCAAACGATATCCTGCCTAATTTGTTTCCAAAGATCTGTACACAATCTTTTCATATATTTTCAAAAAAGAATTCCGTAAATTTTACTCCAAAAAATATGCATAAAAGTATAAAACTGATTTATAGCAAATATTTATATTAACATTTTGCATAACAATAAAACTACTAATTTATAATAATTAAAATATTCACATAGAAAAATCATATAATTTATATGATAAATTTAAAATATATATTAGTATTGTAAATTTAAAATCATTCAAAGAACAGTATACCACAGGTGAGATCCTAAAATTATTGGATTTATAACAATAATAATTTATTTTCTTGGATTTTATAACACTAATAATTTAGCTAACGGGATAATATAGAAGGGTTTGAATCTTGACCATTCGACATACAATATTAACAAAACAAATAAAACTTAAAATTTAAAAATTTTAGTTATAAAAAAATCGACCCACGGTATACCGCGGAATAAAATATTCAAAATTTTAAAATTGACCATATATCGTTACTTAAAAAAATTGTATGTTTTCGTATCTATAATTTAAAAATTGAAATCTAAACAATAGTAATCATACACTAAATAATACATAGATAGATATCTACATTTAAAAATACAAACTAATATGATATATCTTCAGTTAATCTTTTAAAAAATAACATTACATTTTTTAAAAAATATATCCCGCGGGTTAAATTCTAGTTTAGAATTAAGAGACAAAAATATCTATCCAAGCATACATCAGAATTTTTGTAAAGAGACTCACACTATGGAAGTTTCTTTCGTACATTCGTAAGTTTATTATCACACGTTCAACAATGGTTTGGGAATCTTAATATTATTCTTAGCTGATTTACAGTCATAAAACAAAACCAATATATTTTTACAAATATGAAAGTAGATAGATAATTGTTTGAGAAATTGTTAAAAATGCCTCTTTTTCAATACCCCTTTTCAAAAATGCCCCATTTGAGAGTCCATTTTTAAGTTTGCCCTCTTTTAATTTTCAGTGACCATTTTACCCTTATTTGAAACAAAATTAGATCCACAAAATACAAAATATTTTTTGGCGGGAAAAGTGATCCTACAATTTTCCCGCCAAAACACTTGTAAAAACCTATAAAATTTTCCCGTAAAAATTTTTTCCGCCAAAAAATTTTTTTTGCGGGAAAAGTGATTCCGCAATTTTTTTGGCGGAAAAATTTTTGGCGGGAAAAATTTACAAGATATTTTAAAGGTTTTAAGGAGTATTTACAAGTGTTTTGTAAAGTCTTACAATGTATTTTAAAAGGTTTTACAAGGTACTTATAAGGTTTTATAAGATATTTATAACTTGTAAAACCTTATAAAAAACTTGTAAAACCTTAGAACTTGTAAAACCTTATAAAATACATTGTAAAACCTTATAAATACGTTGTAAAACCTTTTAAAATACATAGTAAAACCTTATAAATACCCTGTAAAAAACCTTTAAAATACCTTGTAAATTTTTCCCGCCAAAAAATTTCCCGCCAAAAATTTAACGCCAAAAAAATTGCGGAATCACTTTTCCCGCAAAAAAAAATTTTTTGGCGGGAAAAAATTTTACGGGAAAATTTTACAAGGTATTTTAAAGGTTTTTACAAGTGTTTTGGCGGGAAAATTACGGAATCACTTTTCCCGCCAAAAAATATTTTGTATTTTGTGGACCTAATTTTGTTATATTTCCTTATATATTTGTGATATATTTTATTAAAAGAAGGGTAATTTAGTCATTTTGTACATAAAAAAGGGGTATTTTTAAAAATGGACAGCCAAAGGGGGCATTTTTGAAAAGGGCTATTGAAAAAGGGGCATTTTTGTGAGTCTCCCTAATTGTTTTCTCTTGATTTTCTAATTATTTAAATGAAAAAAAAATAGTATCATAGAAAAAAATGACACACCTGTAAAAAATAAACGAATCTAACCATATATACTAGAGTGAAAATGATTGCATAATAGAGCTGGACAAAATATCCGTCAGATATGTTTCGATTCGTAATTCGGTTCGATTAGAAAAATCCGGAAATCCATAGTTTTACAAAGCAAATCAAATACTAAAAATTGATATTCGTTAAACGCGGAGCAAATCACAAATATTAAAACATAAAAATGCATATGAAGTTTGTCAAAAATAAAATTGAAGTGTTTATGCATATGAAGTTTTTCTTAATTAGTACTCTCTTGAATAGAAATTGATATATATATATATATGTGTGTGTCAGAATTTGGATTATAATTCTAGAAATTATGTGTTATTGTGTTATTGAAATAAACGGCTACACAGATATACATATATAGAGTATATTAACTTTAATCTTATAATGTTAAACCTACTTAAACCCTTGACGCCGCTTTTCTTCTTCATCAAGGCCAAAACGTTCATCACGGCCAAAACGGCCGCATGGTAGGACACATACAACTACACTCCCGGATGGTTTCGACTCCTATAGACTTGTGGGCAACGTTAGAAACTTCCGTAATGAGATGGGCTACCGAGGACCTATCTACATCAATGCATTTGGAAATACAGATCGAATTGATCATTCCACTATGGTAGCTCTCAGTGCGACTGGAGTGTATAGTCATATTACGGACCAAAACTGCACTATTCATTTGCTTTCATCGTTAACTCTATAAATGATGTGTAGCAACAAGTAACAAAGTAGACCAAAATGTGCTTTCTAGTCTCTTATGTGCCAACAACTTATAAATATTTACACACACAATGAAAATAACACACAAGTCCATTTCTCATAAAAAAAAATCATTTTCAATAAAAAAGACAACAACAATGTCTTATCGTTTAAGCTATTACTCAATATTTCCATCACTTTGATTCCATCAGTAAAATATTTTTCATTTTAAAAAATTTGAACAATCATGTATAAATTTTCTAGCTTAATTTGTAAAGTTTTAATGAAATTAATTTTTTTTTTTGAACACTAGTGAAATTAAATTCATTATTAGTTTTGAGGGATATCTAAATTGCAAAGTATTTCTTGGGAAAGAGACTTATCATCCTCCGGTGAAAAAAGCAGACATATAAATGCTAAGATTATGAGAGACTTTGTGATCGTCATGGGAGGGAGGTTCAAGACTCCTACGGTGATATGGAAAAAGGTTGTTACATCACAATTGCTAGAAATGCTAAGTTGATCACATATTACAATCAATTTATGGTGTGATTCCCAAAGAAAAGTTCGGAGATTTTAGATAGGAAAGAATGAAGAAAATTTGTGAAATTCTCATTTTGTGAACCGTATATCAGTCTTGGATTTCACGTGTTACCATGTTTATACACTGGTTCACTCTTTACTAAGCAACCATTTAAAACCTAATAAAACAACTTCAACTTCAACTTCAACTTCAACTTCAACTTCAACTTCAACTTCAACTTCAACTTGATGTCTTTCTAATTTAAGTTTGTGCATATATACACTTCAAAATTATAAACCCAAGTCTTTTTAGACGACTTCGTCTCATTTTTTGTGGGCCTTTTAGCCCAATTCGTAATGCGAGATTTTTGTTTTTCTTCTTTGTTCTTCCTCTGTCCTGCTATATAAACATCCACTGAAGAATAATGCACGGCATGACTATCTTGATTTTGACCAGAAACTACATAATGCCCCCGATATCCATAAAAAGGA